ACACAGATAATAGAGGTGCTGGGTTTTTGGGTTTTTTTTGTTTTTTTGTGGGACCCTCGCCAGCGGCCGGGGAACGAACCGGCGCTGTAGAGGCTACAGGCAGCCTCGCAGCCCAGCGCTCAGCCACTGTGCCACCAGGGGAGGCCCTAGAGGTGCTGTTTTTAAAGCAAGACCATCAGGTGGTTTGGATGCCTACACCACCGTTGCCCGTGGCGTGACCGTGGACGCGCTGCCGCTAGCCCCGCCGAGTCTGTTTCCACCTGTGTAACGTGGGGGAATGTTGCCGCGCTCACAGAATGAGAAGATGCAACGGCTGGATGGCTCTCAGGTCCTCCACAGCCCCTGGCGGGGGTGGGTGGGCAGGAAGCCCAGCAGCGGCAACGCTGGCATCATCCAGGACCAACTCCAAGTGTTCTGCTCTGTGGAATTTGGGAGACCCTGTTTCACTGACTTCACATCCTTTCCCATGACTGTGTCTTTTTTTTAATTTAAATTTTATTTTTATATTCCCCTTACAATTGCAACCCCCTTATGTTGACCCCAAGCCCTCCTTTCCCCGCCCCCCACCCCCCATAGAGTGTCTCTGGTTCATAGTTGCTTGTTGATTTCGATTTTTACTTTATTATAATATAATTAGTCTTTTTCCTGGTCCCTTATTTAAGTTTTCTAGATTCCTGCTATGAGTGAGACCATCCGGTGTTTTTCTTTTTCTTTCTGGCTTATTTCGCTGAGCAGGATCCCTTCCAGCGCCATCCATGTTGCTGCAAATGGCATGTGTTTATCTTTTTTGAATGCTGAGTAATATTCCATGGTGTATATGGACCACATCTTCTTGATCCATCATCTATTTTTGGGCATTTGGGTTGTTTCCAAGGCTTAGCTATTGTAAACAGTGCTGCTATAAACATAGGGGTGCAGGTGCTCTTTGGAATGGATGTTTCTGTGTCCTTTGGGTAAATACCTAGGCGTGGAATTGCTGGATCCTATGGAAGCTCTATGTTTAGTAGGTCCAGAAATCTCCACACAGCTCTCCATAGTGGCTGGACCGGTTTGCACTCCCACCAGCAGTGCAGGAGAGTTCCTTTTTCTCCACACCCTCACCAACATTTGTTGTTGCTAGTTTTTTTAATATGTGTCTGTCTCACTGGTGTGAGATGGTATCTCATGGTAGTTTTGATTTGCATTTCCCTGATGACAAGGGATGTTGAACATTTTTTCATATGCCTGTTGGCCATTTGCATTTCCTCTTCAGAGAAGTTTCTTTTTAGCTCTTCTGCCCATTTTTTGACTGGATTATTTTCTTTGTTGTTGTTGAGTCTCATCAGCTCTTTGTAGATTTTTGTGATCAGTCCTTTATCATTAGTGTTGTGTGCAAAAATGTTCTCCAGTCGGTGGGGTTTCTCTTTGTTTTGGGTATTGTCTCTTTTGCTGTGCAGAAGCTCTTTAATTTGATGTAGTCCCAGCTGTTGATCTTTGCCTTCACTATCGCTGCTTTGGGTGATGTGTCTGTAAAGATGTCTTTGATGTGCGTATCCCGTAGTGTTTCGCCTATATTTCCTTCTATGTATTTTATGGTTTCAGGTCTCATGTCTAGTTCTTTAATCCATTTTGAGTTGGTTTTTGTGTATGGTGTGAGGTAGTGGTCAAGCTTCATTCTTTTGCATGTAGCGACCCAGATTTCCCAGCACCATTTATTGAACAAACTTTCTTTGCTCCAGTGCATATTCTTTGCTCCTTTGTCAAAGATTAGTTGACCATAAATCTGTGGGTTTATTTCTGGATTTTCTATTTGATTCCATTGGTCTGTGTGCCCATGACGGTATCTCTTGACTGATGGAGTCCATCATGCAGTTGTTGGGGGGCAGGCTGAGGGGCACCCAGGAGCCCCCACGCCTGCCCACTCTAAATAGGTTCTGCCACTCGCCGCATGAAGACAAAGCATACTCCAGGCATAAGACCTTCCATGGAAAGGAATTTCAACACAATCAGTGTGTGACAGAGAGGAGAAGAAGAATATAGTTTCCAAATCAAGCACCCAAAGTTATCCACCCCCTCGTGGATAAATGCCCAGCCACACAGGGTTGGTCCAGATCAGGCCATGGAGGCCCAAAAGCCAGCCCCGCCTGTCAGGCACCTCCTGGGGGGACCCACAGGAAAGGGGCACAAGGGCCCAGGCAAGTCTGGGAGAAAAAGAGCAAAATGGAAATCCAAGTCAGGATAAAGGCTGCCATGGTCAGCCTCCCCGCGGGTCTCACCCACGTCTCTGTCTCTTCCAAGTGTCTCCTTCCACGCCCCCCAAGCCCCTGGGACAAGTTTAAGGCCAAGAAGCCAGCGCAGCTTCTTCACGCGTCTCTCTGCTCCTTGCGCCTCCTCCAGGCCTTCCTGATCTCTTCTTGCTTCTTCCTTCTCAGTCTCTGCAGCTTCTTCTCCCTGCTCAGCTCCACCCTCCCTTGGGTGGGGCCCGGAAGATGGAACTTCCCCTTTCCCTGGGGAACCCCTATGACAAAGTCATTTATTTTCTAGAAGAGCTCATGGGCCATATTGAACGTTACGTCCACAACAGCCCATACTAGTTTTTCCCATGCTGAGTCCTGATTTGGTTCCTTTACTTACCTCTCTCTCTCTCTCTCTCTCTCTCTCTCTCTCTCGATGCAGGTAAATCCTGATAATCCAAGATAATACGGGGTCACATTTCCCAGATGGTCCCTTTCCTAGCTCGAGATGTTACAGAGGGAGGGTGTGACTGCAGCTGCTGCAGACATTTCGGGGAGGCATCCGACGCCTTCAGGGTGGGGAGAACACGGGAGACGGTGTCCCTCAGCCACTGACACCGTCACCCCTGAAAACGCCTCCCCTCCACCCTTGCTCAGGAAGAGCCTAACTCCTCTCGCTGTTGCAGTCGCTGGACACTGGGTTTCCTGTTCCTCGCATGTGAAAACATGCCAGTTCACACGAGCGTAGGTTTCCTGAGGACGCTCATATCTGGGAATACTAACTCTGGTGAGTGGGAATATTTTGGGCCACATTGTGCCCCAAGAATGTTGTGAATATTGTTGGTCTTACATCTGACACTGACCGCTACTGCGGAGAAATCGGAGGCCCGAGGTTTCCCCGCCTCCCCGCTCTGAAGTGCAGTGAGAAACCCAGGATATCTTGGGTGTTGGCTGCCCTAGATCTGTTTTTCCTGGAACGCAGTGAAAACTTTTGATCTGCACACAGTTTTTATTTTTATTGCAGGCATGTTTCCTTACACTGTTGGGAAAACTTCACATTAAAGGTTTCTTTTAAGAAATAGCAACTAGCCCTTTTCTAACTGCCGAGATGGCTTCATCTTTTCCTCTATGTTGCCTGGAACAGACTCACCTTGCTCCTCGAAGCCAGTCATCCAGGTGAATGTGCCCAGTTTATTTCTTGGTTTTTCTAACACGGTTTCGATATTGGACGATTTCTGATTTTCCTTGGGCTTCCTTGGCCGTCTACAGCCTTCTTGCCTTTCTCGCTGTGTCCTTTCATCTCAGCCCCCAGCTCAGTCTAGCAAATTAACGTTTGCATCAACTCGTTCTGCAGCCGGGACCACACGCAAGGGACGTTCTCGCTGATCGCTCTTCGCCTGCCCCCCCATTCCAAAGCCCCTTTTTTTCCTTCTTCCCCTTTTGTTGGAGTTGCAGGCTCGACAGGGGCCTGTGGCCTCCTTCTCCCCGCCTTGCTCGCATCGAGCACAGGCCGCCCTCCGCAAATCTCCTGTTTGCTCCGATACACAGGGAGCACCTTCTCCGCAGCCGCCTTCTCCCCGTGTGTGTGCGAGCGAGCTGAGAGGCGGGGGGCGGCATTTGCAGCGGCTTTTCTGGCCGGGTGTGCCCGAGGGTCAAGACTGGCCTGGGCTGGGCTTGTGCTTCTGAGATGGCGCCGGGCTCTCCCCGCTGCATCCCTGCCCCATGGGCCTGCGTCCTGTTCCAGTGACAACTGTCCTGGACTTTGAGTCTTTGTCCCGGGCGGCAAAGCCCTGGGGTCCTTGCGACCTCTGCGGCCTCTGCTGGGGTCCAGAGGCTGGAGGCTGCCTCTCCTCAGCCCGTTTCTTCTTGCCTGAGCCCGCCCGGAGCCTTGCTTCCGCCGCTGGTCCTTCCGTCTCGCTTCTCAAGTCCCGTCTCCTTGGCAGCAAAAAGTCTGAGTGATAATTCTTTGCATTTTGCCCACTTGACTTCTCTCCCCGGCCGGGGCTTGGGAGGGCAGGGGTGGGCCCCCAGCCTCCTCGGCTGCTGCCTTCTTCATGCAATTCCTGCCCAAAGTTGTACTTGACTTTTGTTCAGCTTTCCCGTCGTTGCCAGGCTGTCTGGTCTCTTGCTCACTGGCCCAGTGCACGGCGGCGAGGGGCTGGTGAGCCTTCTGTCCTTCCCATGCGGCCGCCCGGGGGTGGCTCCCGGGCACTCGGTGTGGACACGGTCCTGCGGGGCGCGCGGGTGATGCCCCTGCCAGCGGCTCTCCCAAGGGCGCGCCCGGGCGAAGGGAGCAGGCCCTGAGGGAAGCCCCAGCGAGGGCCTCGCCGCTCGGCCCAGGCGCTTCCAGCTGTCATCCCGGGGACGCCGCGGGGCAGCGCCTCCGCTGTGCTGTGCGCGCTCCCGAGCCCTAGTGGGATGGGCCGAGGGAGGGCCCGCCCGGACGCTCAGCCACTCCTGCCCCAGGCTCCCAGGGCGCGCGTCCCCCTCCCCCCGGGCGTCCGGCCGTTGCCCTGGAGACCGCGGGCGCTGCGCGCCGGGCGGGAGCGCGCGGGTGGGGGTGGAACGGCGCCGCGCAGCGTCCCATCCCGTTGCTAGGCTGCGCCCCGCGTCTGCCCCGCAAGGTGACGGCCCGCGGGTCTCGACAGGAGCTCTCGCCCCCCGCCCTGCCCGCGCTCCGGAGCCCCAGCCCCTGCCAGTGGGCACAGCCCGAGCCGCCCCTCGAGGACCCCCGGCCCCCGCAGCCCCGGCCCGCGGAGGCGCCGCCAGCCCCGTGCGCGAGGGAAGAGGGAGCCGAGCCGTCATGTCGAACGCGTGAGTGGGGGCGCCGCGCCCTGGCCTGGGGGGCGTCCCGGGACAGACCCAACCCGCCCGCCGCGCCTCTGTCCTCCGCTGCCCGCGCCCCTTCTCACATTTTAGCAAATAAAGATGCTCCTCGGGAGAACGTGTCTGCTCCGGCGAGCGGGGTGTCCTGCGCTCAGGGGCCCCGCTCCCCTCGCACCCCGCCCCCTGCGCCCGGCCCGGGTGTCCCCTCCCGCGCGCAGGCGGTGCCGCTGCTCAGGGGCCCCTGGGGGGCTCTGCGGGAACCCCAGGTCTGGTCCCACCCCGCTGGACCCGCGGCCCCCGCAGGGGCACCCGCAGGGCCACCCAGGGGCACCGTGCCCAGCCGCGGCCGCGGGCCCAGGGCCCGACGCGCAGCGGCTCTCGCGCCCGCCCGGCCGCAGGAGCTGCTCGCGGCACCTCGGGTTTCGCAGCGAGGACGGCGGGCGCCGGGTCCGCGCTCGGGCAGCTGTGCCAGGCCCTGCCCGCGGCCTCAACGCCCCGCGCCCTGGGCAGGCAGGTGCGCCCGGCGGGGCTGCTGGAGGGTCGGGGCGGGAGGTCCGTCCGGCTGGGGACGTAGCAAGTTTGGAACGTGCCGGGCACCCGGCAGGCAGCTTGAAGAGGGGTCTGTGTATCAGAGACACCTGGGGGCGCCCCGCAGGTGGGGGCTGGATGGAGAAGGGGCCTCCCCGAGGCGAGGACGCTCAGGCAGGTGGGCCCGGGCTGGGGAGGGCGTGCAGGCAGCAGCCAGAGGACACACACGGAGACTGGCCCTTCCCTGGCGGGCCCTGGACGCAGTGAAGTGTGTCCCGAGCGGCCGGGGGTGCGGGCGGGGACGCTGCCAGCGAGGGGGCGGGAGAGGTAACTGCTGGGGGGGAAGATACGGACGTTGTTTAAAATAGCAAAGCCAGTAGGTGTTACGAGCAGTTCGCCACACTAAAAAGCTGTAAAATATTAAATAAAAACTGTTACTGGGCGGGGAAGGAGATGGAGGCCACATCGTTTCTCGTGTCCCTCGGAGAAGATCGCAGGTGCTGACAAATGCCAACGTGCCCCTGACCTTGCGGGCGGCTTCCCCGGCTTGGAGTGTCGGGGCCGAGAGGCGGCTCCAGGGGCTCCGCCGCTTTCACCCGAGAGCAGGGGCAGGCGAGGGCGGTGGAGAGACAAGGGTGAGGCGGATGGTAGCCCCGAACCCCCGGGGAGAAAGACTCTCCTGGAGGAGGGAGGCGCCGTAGACGCCGCTGGGTGAGTCAGAGACCGAGAACCGACCGTGGACTCCGCCTGTGGGGCCGGAGGAGGCCTTGACCTTCCTTGGCAGGAGTCAGTCGCGTGGCGTGGGAGCACGTGGACGGGGTGGACACAGCAGCGTGGCCATCGTGCACCGTGGCAGGGGCGCCCAGGTGGAGAGAAGAAGCAACCGTGTCTTTTGCTTGCTGACTGCAGCGGCCGGGCCGCAGAAGCAGGACGCCTGAGGGAGGCGGCAGCAGGCTTGCGGGGGCGGGGGGGGCCAGCGGAGGGGTCGTGGCAGCTTCAGGTGGAGGAGCCCAGGGGGCTTATCAGCCAGGAGGAGGCGGCGAAGGTGTGGGTAGAGACGGGTCAGTGTCCCGCAGGGCGAGGTGGGGCAGAGGGTCGATGGCACCACCTGGAGAGAGACTGGGTGAAAAGTGGTGCAAAGCTCGGCCATGGGTTGGACGGGAGAATGTTCTAGAGGTGGCAGTGGGAAGCAAGGAGACACCTGGCCACGGAGAACACCGGTGGTTGCAGGGCTGGGGAGAAGGGAGCAGAGGGCTGCAGGGGGGCTGCGTTCCCAGGGAGGGTCCCCTCCCTCAGGGCCAGGGGAATATTCAGGGGAGGGTAGCAGCCAGATGTCACGGCAAGAAGCTGAAGGTTTTGCCGTGCGTAGGATAACTTGGGGCGAGTTCCCACGGTGTGCGAGAGTGTTCCCGTCTCAGTACACGACGTGTGACCATTCGGGCCCTGCCCATACCCCCTCCTGCACCCCCTCCCAGCTCCAGGCCAGCCGCTGAGGGTGAATGATTTCCAGGCTTTTCTCCTCCTGCCAGTAGGAGGCCCTGCCTGCTGGGGCGCCTGCGGTTGTTACATTGCTTTAAGCTGTGGTGGTCACGTCTGCGGGCCGGGGCTCAGCATTGAGATACTGGCCAAGAGAAGCAGAGGCAGGAGAGAGAGAGCAGGGGAGAAAGAAGCTGGAGAAGCCCAGAGTGAAGACTGGCCCGGGGCTTGGAGGCCTCCGGACGCTCTGGCACCCCTGCCTGCGTGACCCCTGCCTGCTGCACCACATGGGGAAGCTCAGTAACAGCCTGCGAAGGCCGCCGAGGGCTCCAGGACTCTCCTGTAGCCTGCTGAGTGCCCATCCTGCCACCACCGCCTGGCCGTCTCCACCCCCTGCCCCCGCCCCGACTTGGAAACCCTTAGCTTTTCTTGGTCACAGGCTCATCTGGGACCGGCCTTGTGCCTACAAAAACCAAGCAGCTTCCTGGATAAATGCTCCTGCCTCTTCCCTGGCGCATTTAAGTTTTCAAGGACGCCTTCACATCTGTTATTTCACCCCACGGTCATGCTTTGGGGGGTCCGGGCAGGTGGCATTGTCCAGATTTGCCAGAGTGGGGGATGGGGGCAAGGCGAGACCGACCGGCATCCTGGGGGCGGGTCCTGCGCTCAGGCGGAGCGTGCTGACCCTTAACACCCGGCTGGCCCTGCGGGGAGGGGGGCATGGAAGGAAGCACGCCTCCACGCGTGAGCACACGCAGCCCGTGCGCCCAGCTGACAGGGGGCGCCGCCTGCCCACGGCCCTTCCCAGGAATGGGTCCGAGGGGGGCGGATGCTGGCCCTGAACGGAGCTATCAAAAGGAAATGCGCCGACACAGATGAACTTGGGGACTTCCTGCTCGGTGAAGGGTCACCCCTCAACCGGCTCGACTCCCCTGCGCAGGCAGACCCATGACACGAGGTTTTGCGAAGTCAGTTTGTGCTGAGCAGCTGGGCAAGGAAGCAGGAGGCAGCCTGGACTCCACCCCCCGGATAAAGGCAAGAAGGAGCTGGTGCCGGCTGGGGGCTGGGGTCGAGCGAAGGGGTGATGCTTTGTTGGCTGAGCAGCGCCAGCCTCAGAGGCCTCCCTTGTGCGATTCCATCCTGGGAAATGTCAGAAGAGGCAAATAAATACGGAAGTCAGACAGGTGAGGGCCTGGCAGGGGTGGGGGTGGCAGGGAGCAGGGGCGGTTGCCGGGGGCCGAGGTGTTTTCTGGAGTGATGTTCTGGGCTCAAGGAAAGTCGAGGCCTGCACGGCAGGGATGTGCTGACACCGTGATCTGTGCACACGGGGCTGGGTTGATGCTGGTGTATTAGGCGTCAGCAACGCTCGTGCCAGGAGAGCCACTGGCCGCCTGCCCGGGAGTCATCTTCCGGGCACTGCTCCCTCTAAGGGCGCCGACACCGCCCTCCACAGCCCGATGGGGTGGGGCTCACCTGGAGCGGGGCGCTGACCTGGCGAGGGCATGCTGGCCAGGCCCCTGGCAGCCCGGGTGGCGGGGTCTCGCCAGCGGGCGGTGACTCGTGGGGTGTCTGAGTGGCAGAGGCCCGAAGCCCACGTCAGTGCGCAGGGAAAGATGTGGGTGCGGGGACTGGCGAGGGGGCGCAGCCGCTTAGCATTTCTCTGCGACCAACAAGTGTCCCCAGAAAGACAGAGGGAGGGAGGGGAGGGAGAAAGAGCTGCAGCCGGGTGGCCAGGCCCCGAGGCCGGGAAGGCGCAAGCCACCAGGGCAGTCTTTGGCCAAAAGCCCCAGCTAGGAGTCACCTCCCCGCCTCCCCCCAGCCTGGAGGGAACCCTGTTTCTTTGACCCTTTGTGGAAGCGCCCTGAACGGGCCCCGGGTGCAGCCGCCCTACCCCAGGCCCCTTGCTCCCGGTGGTCTTCTAGGAGGGATGCGGGTCACCGGCCCTGGGGCAGCCCCCTGCGGGGCGCCGCAGTCCTTGGTGCTTTGAAGCCCGGGCGGCCCTTCCTCTCTGTCATCGCCGGCTCCGCCCCCACGCTCAGGAGTTAGGACTTGATTTCTCCGTAGTCTTCGGTGCCTTCTTCCCGGCCCCGCGGCGTGGGCGCTGCCTGCCAGCCCCCAGAGTCCACACCCCGCCTCGTCTCTCCACGCCGGCCGCCCCGAGCCTGGCGCTGCCTCCAGCTCAGCCGGGCCGTGCGCCTAACTCCCGGCCCGCCTGCTGCGTCGTTCCCGCTGGGGGCTCCTTTCCTCCCCGTTTGCCTCTGTGGGTGTTAGCTGCGTCTTACAGACACGCCGTGCCGGGCGACGGCTGGTGTTTCTGTGACTGATTTCCTTGGATTTTGCCGTCATTTCACTCGCGAGCAGTTTTTTCAACCTTTTCCTGTAATCCCTGTTATCCCGGCTTCACTCTTGGTCACTCCTGCTTGCCAGGGCATATTTCGAGGGTTTCCTCCACTGAAACAGCTTTGGTCTCTGGTTTTCGGCGTTTTGAGAGAGGCCCTTGGCCTGCCCTTCCCAGTGGGCCTGGTGTTTTGAGCAGGCCTGTGCCAGACACTCTCCTTGAGCCTCTGCTGGCCTCTGCGGGCCTTACCGCCGTCCCGCTGTCCCGGGTCTGTACCGAGGACGGCCTCCCTCACCGTGACCCTCAGGATTCCTGTGACGACCACCCCCCAACCCCCTGCTCCCGGCCAGAGGTCAGGGCGCCCTCCTCTGGTGCCGCGTCTGCTGGCCGAGCGGAGTCTCAGACCCGCGCTCTGAACACAAGCCTGTCATGTCTGGGAGCCTGTCCCGACGGGCGGAGGCCCCACGCCCCGACCCGCTTTGCAGCGGAGCGAGCTTTGGTGCTTCTGTTCCCTGGGAGTCTTTGGGGAGCCTAGTGGCACGCGTGGCTGTGTCTTCTGTGGTCAGGGGTCCTTTGAACAGAAGAGGAGGTGGTGGTTGTGGTTATTGCCCTTTTAAGGAGCTGCTCCTGGTAACGGGCCTGGCCTGTTCGTTGTTTTCTCGGAGGAGTGAGATGCCTGGACTAAGTGGAATTCTCGAGAATCCTCGGGGTCCGGGAATGAGTTCTCTTTACAGTAAAGCTGTCTACGGGGAGCTCTCTCACGAGACATGTTTTGAAAATACTGCTAGGTTTTGAAAAATCTGGTACTTGAACCCAATAGACCGAGCGCCAGAAGTAATATTCATTATTCACACCCAGTGGGGAGCAGGGGTGGGGGTGGTGGAGGAGAAAAAAGCTTTGTTTTCACTATAAATCTTTCCTGTGGCATGTGTCACCCCGAGCCACGTGACTCGTCAGCCCTCATTTGCTTCCATCTTGATGAACAGGAGGCGAGAAAGTTTAGCTGTTCGGAGCATGAACTCTGGGGCAGGCTGCCTGGAGGCAGATTCAGAGAGCGCCATCTGGGGCAATAACTTCCGTTTCCTCATCTGTAAACGAGAGTAATAGGAATAATGCCTGTCACACAGGACTTAGAACTGCGGCTGACATGACATAAACTACCACCACCACCGGCAGCACCATCCTCATCCCCAGCAGCACCACCATCACCATCGGCACCACCATCACCACCACTACCACCATCATGACCACCATCATCATCATCATCATAACCTAAAGGGGTTTTCACATCCAGAGAAGCTTTTAATTTTTGGCACAAAAAGATGAAAAGCTCTCATCTGTGCTCAAGCACATAAAAATGATAGATGAAATAATTTTAAGTGTTCATTTATTTTAGAATTTTACTTAAAGACAAGATATTAATGATAATTGAAAATTTATTTTACAGTATAATGCATTGATGTTACCTATTATTAACAGTATAATATTAAGGTATAAAATAAAATATTTTAAATTGAAAAATAAAAAAAATTGAATTATTTCCATCCAAGTTGACAATCTGCACCAGGACCAGAGTGCGAGCAGGCTGGCTGAGGCGGCCCCGCCAGGTGCCGGCCAGGGAATGGGCAGCGTGCTCTGGGGTGCAGTTCCTGTGAGGATCAGGCCCTTCAGGAGTACTGCGGGGCCCCCAGGCCCCATGTGAATCGGGGGCAGCCTTACTCTTCCTGGCCTGGACAGGAGCAGAGGGAAAGTGGCCACTGCCCCCACAGCGGTGAGAAAACAGCTTTGTAGTTAGACAAGCAATGGCTGTCCCAGGTAACAGAAGAGCTGCCCTCCCCCACAATGAGCAGAAGATAGGCCAACGTGCAAACAGAGCATGTGCACGTGCATTTAAGGAAGAGAACTTGTAGATGCCCAGACCTGACATGGTTCAAAAGACTCATAAAAGAGAGCTAAAGAGTGCCAAGGGACGGTGCCCAAGGTGGGCACAGGTCGGCCCACAGCCAAGTGTTCAGGCAGGGCCGGGCACCAAACCAGACAGCAGCGGACTCCACCGCCAGGAGGAGGTCAGACACCCAGAGGCTGGGTCAGCTCGGCGATGACGCTCCTTGCGGGGGATGTCAGAGGCAGGGCCGGGGGCAGGTGCAGCAGCCTCCTCTCTGCAAAGGTTTCCAGAGGGGTGGAGGTGTAGGGAGCTGCGGAGCCTAGCGGCCCGGTGAGTGCCACGGAGGGCGGCACCTGCTGCATCTCTATTCAGAGGGTGGGAGCAGAATCCTTCTTGGAAAGTGGCCCGAGGAATGCTTCCTCTTCCTGGCCTGGCTGTTGACTTCTTCTTCGAAGGTGGTCTGAGGACTCTGCCTTCTCTCCAGAGGCCGGCTGCACATTCCTCAGGCTGACTCCTGCTCTGCCTTTTGTCCCCTTCAGGGTCTCCCACTGTACAAGCCTGATTGGACGATTTTCTTTTTTTTTTTAATAATAAATTTTATTTTTATATTCCCCATACAGTTGCACAATTGCAACCCCCTTATTTCGACCCCAATCCCTCCCCTCCCACCCTCTACCCCCCATAGAGTGTCTCTGGTTCATAGTTGTTTGTTGATTTTGATTTTCACTTTCTTATAGTTATTCCTTTTCCTGGTCCCTTATTTAAGTTTTCTAGATTCCTGCTATGAGTGAGACCATCTGGTATTTTTCTTTTTCTTTCTGGCTTATTTCGCTGAGGATGATCCCTTCCAGCGCCATCCATGTTGCTGCAAATGGCATGTGTTTATCTTTTTTGAATGCTGAGTAATATTCCATGGTGGATATGGACCACATCTTCTTGATCCAGTCATCTATTTTTGGGCATTTGGGTTGTTTCCAAAGCTTAGCTATTGTAAACAGTGCTGCTACAAACATAGGGGTGCAGGTGCTCTTTGGGATTGATGTTTCTGTGTCCTTTGGGTAAATACCTAGGAGTGGAATTGCTGGATCATATGGAAGTTCTATGTTTAGTAGGTCCAGAAATCTCCACACAGCTCTCCATAGTGGTTGGACCAGTTTGCACTCCCGTGATTGGACGATTTTCAATCCTAAGCGTCTGATTGGACCAATTTAGCACTAGTCAGCTCATTTTTCAATCCAAATAATTAACTAATGACGTGAACTTGAACTTGATTGGTCCATTTTAAAATCTTAGTGCCAGATATAAAAAGGGGGAAAGCCTGACCTGCATCCGGTCAGGGCATGCTGGTGGGCCTGTTGGCCTGGGAACCATGGCCTGAGATGGCCTTGCTGGGGCTGTGGAGGGGGAGCATCACTTAGGGTGTTCGGACAGACAGGAGCAGGGCGCCACCTACGAGGCAGTGCTGGGTTACTCTCCAGAGTGGTTGTTCCAGTTTATACGCACCAGCTGAGCCTGTGGAGAAATCAGTCGGCGATCTGGTCAACTTCATCTTCTGAGTGGGTATAATGTGGTTACGTTCCCGTTACATGACGGTTACGGTGAGGAACCAGCCTGTATCATTAGTAGAAAGGCTTTTAAACTCTTCCAGCTGTTTATTCAATAATAGTAACAGCAGCCAGTGCACAGACCACATGCACCCCCCAAACAGAACTCGGGGGGCTCAGAGCCACACACAGTGTTCTCGGTTCCCCTCTGCTGGTGAGTTGTAGACTTTGCTATACAGATGCCCCATGGGTGTGCGTCCCAGAGCCTCTTTTGCTCACTGGATTATCTAACTTCTGTCTTCCCTCAGGATGTATAATGAGATGTGGCATCAGACCCAGGAAGCCCTCAGCTCTTTGCTCGTCAAAGAGTCTCAGAAGGTGCTAGAACCACATAGCAATCAAGTTTTCATCTTCCAAATGCTGGCCACCTTCTACATCAAATATGTGCAGATCTTCAGAAGCATGGAGCACGTCTACGACCAGATAGTCCAGCCTCAGAAGCGCGTGCTCATCCGGAAGATACTGGATGGGGTGATGGGCCGCATCCTGGAGCTGAAGAACGAGATGGTCGAACTGGAGTTAACTGAGTTTCATTATTTTGATGACATCTTGCAGGATTTAAAGCTGGTTCCTGTGAGTGCTTGGGTTTTTTGTCTTCTTATTTGTTTCTTTCTGTTTTTAATAAGCTCTGCAGGGCTGTTGCCAATATCCCACAGGCTTTCTAGACACATTTACTGGCTATTTGCTGTATTAAAGTAGAAACCCAGCCCTCCCGTCGGACCAGAGCGCCCTGGGTGAGGGTCACTGCCGCAGGCTTGGGGCCCATGCTCGCACAGCCCTGGAGGCTGGGGGGCCCTTAGGTGGCGGAGGTCGTGTCACTGTGTGTCTGCCCAGGCCTCTGGGCATGGAGTGGGCTTCCCCTTTCGCCAGTATCCTGTGGCACAAGCCCTCTGGGTTTCCAGCAGCAGGCCCTACCGCTGCTCCCTGTTACGAAGGAAGCCTCTGTCTTCCTCCTGCTGAGCGGCCTGCAGGCTGGATGAAGCTTTGCTTGGAGACTGACTCGGATGTGTCCAAATGTGCCTTGGAGTGTCAGACACCAGAGGAGGGCGCTCCCCTGCGCCCTGCTGCCCTCCCGCCCTCTGTGGTCACGGTGGAAGCCCAACTGGCCAGCAGCCTCTGTGTCTGGGCCTCAGTGGCTGTCCCAGAGCCTCAGCGCCTGTTCTGTCAGTCAGCCAGCTGTTCTGCCTGTCCTGAGCCCCTGACCGTGGCTGTGTGGTTGCAGGAGAGGGGCACCGTGGCAGCTGCACGGCCCAGTCCTCCCAAGAGATTCTGAACCAGGGACAGGAGAGCAGGGTCGGTTAGGCGCCTGCACTGCAGTAGCTGGGCCTCCGCTCACCAGAGCCACCCCTGGAGGTCTCAAATCCCCTTTACTGACCCCTTTTGGCTGAACTGGACTATTTTTGTGACCTGCCACCCAGGGGTCTCCCATCATCAGGTTCTCAAATGTAGAGAAACATGTAAGGGCACGGGAGCGTCCATGCCACTGGAAGTTCCTTGATTCTACCCCCTAGAAATGGAAAGAAACTCCCCCCTCCATCTGCAGCAGGCATGGGCATGGACCCGCCACACGCCAGGGGCGACAGAGCTGCCTTCCCCCTTCCATTCTCCATGTCTGTTTCCACGCCCCCGAGATTCTAGCTGTAAAACTGTGACCCTAAATGGGCCCAGTGGAGCCAGGTGAGCACAGTTTTGTCTTAAGTTAAAAAGGACAACGCTTGAACGTGTGTATTAGTAGATACAATCATAGTAGTCAATGGAATCATTCTCCTCTGAGCGCCCCCACCCCCAGGCCACACTTACCCGCTGGACCCTGGAAGCTCATCCTCAGGGAACCCCAAACACTCCTGTGGCCTAAGAAAGTTTTGGTTCCAAAAGCTATTGCCACTTCCCCAAAGTCCTGGGGACACTGTCACACCAAGTTCTGAAGAAGCACCCCTTTATGCTTACTTCGGGGAAGGCCTGTCAGAATTCCCTGGATTGCAGGGAGGGCATGGGAGTCACACCGGAATGAGGGATAGTGGGGGGCTGACCCCAGGGACCAGAACCTTCGCTTTCTCCAGTCAGCTGGCTACCAGCAACTGCCAAGCGTATCTAAAAGGTTATTTAGAATGAGGCCCCTCTGTGGGGTGGCCCAGAGCCCGCCCCATCCTCGGTGGACACTTCCACACGCAGGACTTTTGAAGCTGGCCTGGCAGATACCCCTCTGGCCGCCTTTGGTTTGAAATCTTTAATAATGAGCACCCGTGAAGCACCGGTGTTTACATTATCATATAAAAAATAAGTTTCCAAATAAAACAAATTGATTTTGTAAATTTTTGCAATGGAGTCATTTAGGTAAAAATAAAACCGTATGTTTAGAAACATGGGACCATTTACACACCAGCCGTTGAGGATGACAGTGAAAACCTGTCAGGCTTCTAAGTCAGCGATCTCCGCAGCTGAGCCGCGTCCTCGCTGGCAGTGTCGTTTCGGGTAGGGAGGAATCTATTCCTCTGGGGAAACTCAGTACATTACAGCGGTGGGCCAAGGCCCGACGGTGGGAATCGCTGGAGTTTGACTGTCGTGACTACCTTTCTTCCTTTTGCCTTTATTCGTGTCTCCTTAGCAAAAAGAAATTCTCTTCCCCGTTGTCTCTTACATGAGGGTGGCGGTAGCGTGAGTCTCTCTGCAGCGATCGGCCCTACTGTGTGCTCTGAACGCCGGGAGTCCTGGCCCGATGACCAAAATGCGCTGTTGTTTGTCCTTCCCTTCTGCAGCAACAGCTGGACATCCCCATACCCAGGTACTTCATGAAGGAGAAGGCAGACGAGACCAGAAGAAGAGAGGAAATCCTGTCTGAGATCATAGCCAGCAGTGGACTGAGTCTGCCCGACAAGGTCTGTGTGTCCTTCCTGCAAGCTGTGCCCGGCCCCTGCGAGGCGCCTCTCTGCGCCCCCAGGAGAGGCCGCGGAACCCCGCTCCACCGGCGGCCGCAGCCCCCACCCGGTGCGCAGTGCAGCTTCGGGATGTGTTGTTGATGAGTCGTTGCCGTTATTTTTCAATAACTCAGGGACCCAAGCACACACACCGTGTCAGTTACCCCAGGCCCTCTCGGCTGGAGCGACCTTCTGCTCCCTTAATTTTTCGTCTCAGGGCGGCCGGCGCCGTGTCCCCGCTGCGGCTCAGGCAGGTCCGCCTCCCGGAACGCTGACGGGAGCGTCATGACTTCAAGTTCAGCGACGCTTGGTCCCCTCAGGGGGGCCGTGTGTGGGGAAAGGGAAAGGAAAACCCGGAAAGCTCCCCTGGAAGGCGAAGATCAGGCCCAGTCGTCCCGGCGTTGGCACCACGACCACCCTAACCGGGGCACTCAGAGAGGGGGCGCCGCCTGCAACCGCCGGACGAGGAACCCTACAAATAGGCCCCACTGGGCACTGCCAGTCCACTGCTCAGGAGGACCCGAGCGCCCCCGGGGCCGGGCAGGGCACAGAATGCCTGTCTGCTGCGTGGGGGCAGGTGGTGGGCGAGCCGGGGCCCCCGGCCCCCCGGGCTTTGTCTGCCGGCAGCGTCTGCCCGTCTCCCTCCTCACACCTGTCATGGCAGCGCCCTGCAGCACCCACCTTGCTCCGGCACCTTTCAAAAACCTCCGGAACCCCCTAATTCAAGACCAAGGAGACTCCCCGTGCCCCCTCTCTGCCTCACACCTTCCGGGAAGCGACTCCGGGGGGGCGGCCCCAGGGTCATCTCCTGCCTTTCACCTTTCCTGTGTCCGGAGTCCGTCCCTACATGTCAGAACCAGCTGCGGCGCTTCCTTCAGTTCCCCCGAAGGGAGCCCCCAGCATGGCACGCAGCACGGACAGCAGGCCACCCCCGGGGTGCTGCAGGGACCCCAGAAGGAAGCAGCACACGCAGCGATGCCCTCACCCCTCTGCAGTCTCTCCTCCCTCCCGTGCCTCTTGGCTTGTGCAGGGGCAGCAGCAGGACGTCCCTCCCCCAGCCCTCAGAACCCCTCCCAGCCTGCTCCCTGGTTAGGTAGAGCTGCGCATTGCACCCCAATCTCTAGTTCAGATGTGCTTAATGCGCGGCACACCCCAGGGCTTCTGGCCTACCACCTGGGCGTCTGTGCCACTCTCGCGGGCCCTTTGTTATCTCGGGGGCCCCAATTCTCACCTTTAGCTGCCAGTTTCTGGAAGACATTTGCAATGTGTACCCCAAGAATTCTGACAAGTGAAAATACCTGTTCCTACATTTGTAATGCCTCAGACTTACTCTGGGACCACCAGAGATGTTTAAAATTCTTTGTCAGATTGAGGCAACTACTCAGAACCCCGTCGAAGATTCTGTAAGGATTGTCCCTTTCTGCTAGCATGGGCAGTGGGGGAAGTAGGTGCACTGCCCGCTGGTGTCTGGAGGCCCCTGCTCGGGGCTTGAGTGGTGTCCACACCCCACCCACTTAACAGCAGCTCCTTTGCACTCTGCACTGATGTGCACAGCGCTGCTGAACACGTGTGCTCTGCGGACTCGAAGCCGCAAGACCCCCCTGGACACAGCAGGCCACGGGCTGAAGCGCTCCTCGGAAAGCGGTGGGCAGCCCCCTGACCTGCAGCAGCTGCCTTAGCAGGAGGGGGCCGGCCAGGGCCTCGTCAGCACCCCGTCCTGGCCACGGGACTGCCGTGCTCGCTTCGCCTTTCCAGCCTCTGTCTCCTGAATTCACGAGCACTGTCTGGGGAGTCCCGTGGTCCACTGGGTGCGGCTATCACTGTCACATCCACGCACGAGTGGCATCTGGCAAGTGGAGGTTCCCAGTGACGGGTGACAGAGGCACCCAGTGCACTCCAAGTCTTCCAGGCCTCTGCAGACCCCAAGGCTGGCCCTTGGCCCGGTGTCCTTGGAGAACAGCCCCGTCTCGCAGTTGACGGCGAGACCCACGCGGTCTCCAGGACGGCATCTGCTGCACGAGCCCCTCGCCCTGTCTGACTGTCACCTGTCACGGCAGGGCTACGAAGCTCGAGGGTAGGTGCTGGAAGACGCTCCCCACAAGCTGAGAGGCTCCTGCATGGTTTTGAGTGTCATTACTCGCCGCCCACGCTGTCGTTGATTTTAAACTCAACTTTTTTACTTCATGAGCATTTTATGTCTTAAGTCTTGTGTGAGAGATGTGCGTTTAGTTTATGTGCTTCTGGTCAGTTAAGAAACCTTGATAGCAATTTCAGGTTTGACTGACTTCATCTCCTTGGCAGTCCCCGGATGCTTTGCTGCCAACCTGGAATACGGTAGCACTAGTTGGTTGTGGGTTCTGAGTGGCAGAGGGGGGCTTCAGCCCCTTAGACACAAGCATTCACGTGATCAAAACACGCACAGAACAGGAGGCAAACGGCCCCTCCTGTGTTAGAAGTGAGCGTGTGAGGTTTCTGGGTCCCTTAGTATCGTTTATTTTTTTATTTTTATTTTTTTTTAATTTTATATTTTTTTCCATCATTTTTCATTTTTGCACAATGGATGCATTTTCATCTTGGTTATAGTCCCCACACAATTCCCACCCCGCCTTGTTTTCATCCTACTCCCCCCTCCCCCACCCCAAGTGTGTCTCTGATTTATAGTTGCTTGGAGATTTTTGGTTTTTATAAGACTGTACTTCCAGGGATTTCTGTAGTTCGTTTATGTGTTTTAACACTGACTTATCTTCCGCGATTTTGCAGAAACACCCTGGGAAGACTCTCTCCCTGGAAGATGCTGTGAAGTTGATCCAGGTTGCAGAGCGCGCCCGGCAAGGTCGGCTACGCGCCATGTTCATGAAGCAAATCTTTCTTCAGGAATTCAGGGCAAAGCAGACCAGGTCACTTAGCGAGAAAATGGCCGACGTGGGGGCTGCGGCGCTACGCATTCAGAAGGTACAAACATGGGGTTCTCGGAATCGGGGGGCCAGGGGTCTTCAGCACACCAGGATCTAGGTGGGGGACTCCAAAACTCAGATTTCCAAAATTCAACCTTTGGTGGAACTATGTTAAATTCCAGAAAGATTATCTTACCCTTGAGAAACTGATCACTTTTAAAATCTTATGATAAATATAAAGATCTAATATGAATGTATTATAAATTTTGTTATAGGTAAATTATTTTAAATATTTAGTGTCGACATGTAAAAGGCAGAGCATTTTATTCATTTTTTTTTAAACCACTGGTAGTTGTTGGGAAGATGATCGCAAAATCAATGAGGATAGACATTCTTAATGAATTCTTTCAAGGTAGAAATTCTGAATAAAAGCCACAGACCTATCATCACAGCAGGGAGCCCTGTCAGTTGAGCACCCGTGATTTGTACCCCAACTTTTTTCCAATGGAGGCTACGTTTGCTTACAGGGGAAATGCAGAAGATGGTATTGTGACTCAAATAAGACCTAGGCTCAAAAGAAAGTAAGTTTAAGGACATAGAATAGAGCCACACGATCAAGGCTTTTGCTCCAATTTGTGTTTGAATGGGCGTGAGGGGAGAGCTGGGGAGCGAACGATGAGGGGCCTTTTTCTGTGCAGTTCGGTGGGATTCCAATGCTTTGAAGGAACACCAAGTTCAGAGCTTGGACTGTGGGCTGCAGTCACAGCCTGGACTGTGAACTTTGATGTGACTGCAGATCGTGGTTTCATTTCTTTTCACTATATCTTTAGAGGCGAAATTGCTGGAGCATAGGCAAACTCTATTTTTAGATTTTTATGCAAAATCCGTAGTTTTCCATAGTGGCCCTACTGGTTGACTTTCCTGCCCCAAGAATTCCAGAGGGTTCCAGATTCCGGAGGGTTCCCTTGTCTCCACCTCCTGCCAGGAATCTTGTCTTCTCACTGCTAGCCATGCTCTCGGCTGTAAGAAGATTCTTCACTGTGGTTTGATTTTGCATTTCCCTGATGATAAGTGATGTTGAGCACCTTTTCCTGCCCCATGGGCTCTCTGTATGTCTTCTTTGGCCATATTTTTAATTGGATTTTTTGTTGTCGTTATTAAATTACTTAAGTTCCTTCCATACTTTGGATGTTAACCCTTTATCCGCTGTATTGCAGAAATTCTTTCCTGTTCTGTAGGCTAACTTTTCATTTTGTCCATTGTTTCTTTTCACCTACAAAAGTGCGTTACTTTGATACGACAGCACATATTTATTTTTGCTTGTTCCTTGGGTGTAACGCCCAAAACAATTTGACCAACACCAACGTCAAGGAAGCTTTTTCCCATGTTTTCTTCTAGGAGTTTTATAGTTTCAGGCCTTACATTTATGCCTTTAATCTATTTTGAGTTCATGTTTGTGGCAGGTGTCAGATAGAGTCTGCTTCCATCATTTCGTATGTGGATATCCAAATTTCCCAGCATCATTTATTGAAAATACTGTCCTGTCCCCACTTAGTGTTTTAAGTTCCCTTGTAAAACTTTAGTTGACTATATTTGCCGGTTTCTTTCTAGGCTCTCAGTTCTGCTCCTTTGTTCTCTCTGGTTTTGTGTGTGTGCCATACTGTTTTGATACTATAACTTTGAAATATAGTGTGAAATCAGGACGTGTGATGCCTTCAGCTTTGCTCTTCTTTCTCATAAATGCTTTGGCTTTTTGGTCTTTGTGATTTCATGCAAATTTTAGAATTACTTTTTTCTATTCTTGTGGTAAATGCCATTGAAATTTTGATAGGGATGGCATTAAATCTATAGATGGTTGGCTATTTTAGCAATATTAATTGTTTTAAGCTATGAACACAGGTTGTCGTTCCATTTATTTGTCTTCTTCATTTTCTTCCATCAATGTCTTACAGTTTTCAGTGTCAAGATGTTTCACCTCAAAATACTTATTCCTAAGTATTTTGGTTTTTTCTTTTCATGTTATTGGAAAATGGAATTGTTTTCTTTATATGATTCATTATTAGACTGTAGAACTGCAACTGATTTTTATAGTTTGCTTTTGTATCCTGAATATTTACTGAGTTCATGTATTGGGTTGTTGAGAATGTCATGATGCATTTTTTCTGTTTTTCAAAGAAAAAAATATGTCATGATTTTTCCAACAACCCAATATTATTTCTGATAGTTTTTGGCGGCGTCTTTAGGATTTTCAACATATAAGATTGTGTCATCTCCAAACAGAATGTATTACTTCTTCCTTTATCATTTATAGATGCCTTTTATTTCTTTTGCTTGCCTAGTTGCTCTGAACACTCAATACTGTGTTGAATAAAAGTGTTAAGAGCAGGCACTCTTGTCTTGTTCCTGATCTTAGTGGACAAGTTTTCAACATTTCACTGTTGGGTATGCTGTTAGCTATGGTTTGTCATATATGACCTCTCTTATGTTGAGGTATTTTCCTTCCATACCTAGTTTGCTGAAGCTCTTATCAGGAGTAGGTGTAGAACTTTGTAGAGTGTTTTTCCTGCGTCTATTGAAAGAATCATAATTTTAATTCTTTGTTAGTATGGGTATTATATTTAATTATTTACATATATTGAAACATCTTTGCACCCCAGGGGTAAAGTCCCTTGATCATGATATGTGATCCTTTGAATGAACCTGTTTTGCTGAGAATTTTCGCGTCTATGTTCACCTGGGATGTTGGTCCGAGTTTTCCTTTTTGCGGCGTTTGGTCTGGCTTTGGTGTCAGGGTAATGCTAGCCTCGTAGAATAGGTTTGGGAATGTTTCCTCCTCTTTAGTTATTTGGAAGGATTCACTGTGAAGCCGTTGGATTCTGAATTTATTGTTGAGAGATTCTGATTACTGTTTCTGTCTCAGGCATTATTGAGCTATTCTGATTTTTGTTTCTTCATGATTCAGTCTTGGTAGGTTGTACATTTCTTGCAGTTTATCCATTTCTTCTAGGTTTTCTAAATTGCTACGGTGTAATTATTCATAGTAGCCTCTTATGAGCCTTCACATTTCTTCATATATCTGAAAGACTGTACCCTTGTGACTTGGGAAGCTTTTAGCCATTATTTTTAAAGTCATGTTTCTGCCCCTTCTTCTCCCTTCTCCAGTCTCAGGCTGTGACTATTCATTCCTTGATGTTGTCCCATCAGCCATTCTTTTTTTCTTTTTATTCCTTTAACTGACTCATTTAAAATGCCCTGTCTTTGGGTTCATTGGTTCTTTCTTTTATATGATCAAGTTTATTGTTGAAGCTCTCTGTGGATTTTCCAGTTCCTCACTGGATCCTTCAGTTCTAAGATTTTGGTTTGGGGTGGTTGTTTTTATATAGCATCTATTTGTTAATTAACTTCTTGTTTTGTTCTTGCATTATTTTCCTGATCTTGTCTAGCTATCTCTCTGTATTCTTTTATATTTTATTGCATTTCAGACAATTATTTGGAATTTTTTTGTTAGGCAATTTGTAATCTCTCTTTCCATAGGGTCAGTTACTGTAACTTTATGAGTTTCTCTTGTTGGGGTTGTTGTCCCCTGAGTCTCTGCAGTCCATGTCACCATGCATTGTTGTCTTGCACTTAAAAGAGCAGGCTTTACAGACTGGCTCTTCCCCATGTGGGCTTGTGGGATTACCTGTGGATTAGCAACCGTGCTGGCTTGGAGCCAAGGAACAAGGCTTTGGCTAGATCAGCAGTAGATCCATGGTTGGCGGAGTTGTTACCAGGGTCTTGGTGCCACGTCTGGTTCCTCTGTGGACAGGACTGCCTCCAGTACACGTTATTCAGGAGGGTGGCTCCAGGACAAGAGTCCATTCACTTCAAGGTCCACAGGTCCTCAGACAGTGATGTAGGCCATTAGTGATTTGTTCTTTCTATAAAAATATTGCCTGTGGGGCCTCCCCTGGTGGCGCAGGCGGTTGAGCGCAGTGCTGTGAAGCTGTCCACAGCCCCTGCAGCATGGGTTCAACCCCAGCCAACTGGCGAGAATCCCACATGGTGCAGCAGACCTCTCCTGTCTCACCCGCTGCTCCCCTCGCAGTGGATTTCAGTCCTTCTGCCTGTTCTGCTCCCCGCTCTGTCTCTGGTGAATCCTCTCACCCTCCCATGCATCTCGCCTGTACCCGGGTTCTTGTATGCATGAATAAATAAATCTTTAAAAAAAAATATTACCTGTGATCACAGAAGAAAAAAATATCCCATCAATACCCACGGTGCCCCGCTTTAACTGCATAGTCATTCTGTCATTTGGGGTGTGAGCTCTATATGGGAGAAAAAATATGACAATGTTTTCTTTATTTTTTTAATATACTAAAAAGGAACCGTTTTGTTGTTTTTAGGTTTGGCGAGGTTTCCGTCAGAGTAAGTTGACTGAGAATGAGAGAGAGAAGGAGATGATATTCCTGGGTATGGTAAGTCTTCTAATAGATAAAATATGCATCTGATTTTCCTGAAGATTATAGCACCTGTAAGACTTGTGTCTTCCTTAGAGAGTCTTTAGGGAGGAAAGGAAAGGACAGTGTGACCAGTGACTTGAGAGAACGGAGTCACCTGCATGACACAGCGCGGGGCGGCAGGCGAGGGCAGGGGCGTGGCCATCCCACACGCTCTGTCCAGCAGACGGCTCCAGTGTGGGGCAGGCCTGGAGGAACTCACAGTGGCTGCTCCTGCCAACGTCTGTAACACGCTTCTTCCTCAGTCTGGGGCCATCAGGCTGGGTTTACACCAGCTCAGCTGGTTTGGGGCGGTGGGGGATGGTATCACTGGTGCGTCCGTAATTAGTAGAAAGGTATATGGGTTACCTGTGGCTGTGCAATAGTATCGCCACAAACATGGCATTTGCCCTCTCCTTCCTATGGGCCCGTGATCTGGGCTTAGGTGGTCCTCTGTGTGGGGTCTCCTGCTGTCGTTGCTGTTTGCTGGGGCTGGGCCCTGTTGAGGCTCGACGGTCAAAGTTCTGCTTTTGAGCTTATGTGCCTGTGGCAAGAGCCAACTCCTTGTGGCTCGTCAGAGTGAAGCTTCTGGATGTTGAAGGGTTTTGGTAGCCAAGGCTCCTTGCCACGTGGGATGCTCCGTCAGAGCAGCGCGGGGCTGGGCTGCCTGTGCAAGCAGTCTCAGCGGAGGCTGCCACCATGTGTCCCTGTAAGAGCTGATGGGGCGCAGAAGGAGAAAGGGTTATGCGAGGATGCAAGCGCCAGAAGTGGGCACCATTGGGCCGTCTGAGTGTCTTTGTGCCGCTTCTGTGCTACTGGTTTGCCACGCGAAGGCCTCCCAGCAAGGCTGGCTCATCCTCACCCTGAGTCCCTGCTGAGTGCCGTCGCCTCCTGCTTCCGGGGTAGCCCGTTGTGTCTTATCTGAGATGCCTCTCCCTGCAGTCTGCTCATGTGCAGACGCCCCGGGGATTTGTCCTCGGTGGTGGCTCAGGACGCTCCTTCTCTGTCGCCGTGACAACCCTTCAAGTACTTGAAGGCAGCTCTTGAGTCACCCTGTGCCCAATGTCCACAGCTACTGACCACCAGAGATGCCACCATTTCTGGGGGACCATGTTTGTTGATGTGCTCAGTTTTCATCAAAAGACACTCTAATTTTTTTTAAAAAGATTTATTATTTATGCATACAAGAGCTGGGGTACAGGCCAGAGGTGTGGGGGGTGAGAAGATTCACCAGACACTGAGTAAGGAGCAGAATAGGTGGATCCACTGAAATCCACTGCTGAGGGGAGCAGCAGGGAGACAGGAGAGGTCTGCTGCACCATGTGGGTAGCCCCCTGGCCCAGGATGGAACTCAGGCCACAGTGGCTGCTGACAGCTTCATAGTGCTGAGACTTAACCCCTTGCGCCACTAGGGAGGCCCAACACTGTCGTTTTTGAGAGAAGGGAAAGGAAAGAGAGCCGGAGCCCGGGCTCACAGTGTATTGGGATAAGCAGCATCGCCCAGTGCCCGCATGTGACACACAGATGAAAGTGCTCCCCTGGCGGCACTGGGGAGGGGGACTGGCTCTTTAACTGGCTGAGCACACACAGAGCTCTGGTGGGGCCCAAGAAAGCGAGAACATGAAAAGCAGATACCCACAGATACCACTCAGTCAGGAAGAGACATAACATCCCGCAAGACTATGGCAACAAATTAGAAATATTGAACAGAGAAGACTGTCCAGAAATATCAAGAGCAAAACTAGCCAGAGAGGTCAAATGCCCAAATAAACTCTCACTGCCACGAATGTTGAGAAGGTCGTCTGCGCCCCTGTGTTTGTTGGGGTCTGGTGGGAAGCAGAGGCCAAGATGGGATTAGACGCGCGCAGACTTAGGGGACAGTGTCTGTGAGGAGTAAAGGCAGGGCCAGGACGGCCAGGCGGAGCCATGGACCCCGAGGCGGGACGGCCGCTGAGAGGGGCCAAGGAGGAGGGTTAGAAGGAAGAGGCCATTCCAGTAAGTCCATGCAGCCCGGTTTTAAAAGCCTGTCCTGCCAAAGAAACGAGAACCCATATGCGACACCAGCTTAGGCAGAGACCCAGGGCTGCCCGTCTGTGGCCCGTTTGTCCATTACAAGCATTGAAAACACTCTCTACCGCCTGTTGGTCCCAACCCTTGGGATTTCTTTGCTAAGAAAAATAGAAAGTTGGGGGCCTCCCCTGTGGCGCAGCGGGTTGAGCTCTGCGCTGTGAAGCTGTCCGCAGCCTCTGCAGCGCGGGTTCGATTCCCGGCCAGCCAGGGAGATTCCCACATGGAGAGACAGACCTCTCCTGTTGCGCCCGCTGCTCGCCTCAGCAGTGTCTTTGGTCCATCTGCCTGTTCTGCTTCCCGCTCTCTCTGGTGAATTCTCTCATCCTTCGGCACCTCTGACCTGTACCCCAGTTCTTGTATAAATAAATACATCTTTAAAAAAAAATAGAATGTGTGCAAAGCTGACACTATAGTGACATTCACATCATGGTAGGTTGATAAATGTGAGGGATCCATGCTCAGCCCCAGTGAATGTCGCTAACGTACCCCAGGGTTTGTGTTTGGAAGGGAAATGTTCGTCTCTCTACAAAATGTCAAATGTGTACACCTTGGTCCTGTTTCTATTGTTTTGCTCATTTTTGCATCTTTGTGTGAAAAATTACAGATAAATAGAGGTTCAAAAATCATACCAGAGGGGGAGAATTATGAATCATGGTTCAAGCAATTCTAGCCATTTAAATTGATCATTTAAAATTGGAATAATAATCAACCCGCAGTGCATTTTCTCAATTCTACGTACTTATTACCAAATATGTATCTCAGTAGGACACAAATTGAGAATGATGACTTTTCTTTGTCTTTCTGTTATGGTAAATATGCTCAGAGAATAATGTAAAAAGTGGAAGAAATGAATGTGATTTATACTTCTCTTTTACCAAATTTATTGGTAAAATACACATTTTATCCTTTTCATGCTATGGTTATCTTCTAGTGTTCCTCCCTTTGTCTCACATTTAGAGAACAGAGGCCCAGTGGTCACTGAGTTGTGTGGTTGCTAAGAGCAGAAAGGGAGGCCTGGCCCATCTCTCTGTTCCACGATCGCCATAAACACACCAGCTAAGCCACGTTTCCTTGAGATCTTCCTGCATAAACATAGTCCACTTTCCTTTCGGAGATTGTAGGCATTAAAGTGAACTAAATGATCCTATTTGTAATGTTATTAAATATAGAAAAATATAATTTACATTCATTTACGTATCGCGGCATCATTTTCATCAAGTCTGCATTATTCTAAATGGCAAATGGCGCGCTAAGTCCTTGTTGCCTGGTCCTCGGGCCCCCGTTGGCCTCGGCCCCTCATCCTCTTCTGCCCCTCGTGCAGTGACGGCCTCCGAACGGCATCTCCGTGTCAGCACCGAACTGAAGATCGAGTTATTTGGCTTGAGGAAGGAAATCAGCTCTGTGTTCCGGACACCCGAAGAGCGTAGATTCCCGGTGCAGGACCCAGATGTCACAGCACGTGTGTTTACAAAGTCTCAGCTACAACGTGCAGACGTCTCTCTTAAAGAAATATGGTCATTCACACCAGAGCAGCTTACATGATTTTAAAAATACCTTGATTTTATCATCAACGTTCTTGAGTCCCCGCTGAACTTTGAATTTCAAAAATAAGTCAACATTTATTTTTGGCGTTGAAAACCCCTTGGCATCCCAGCCCATTTTTATTTTGTAGCTGTTTGGGTATGCTGGCAGAATCAAGTGGGTGAGCAATCCCTGCCAGAATCTTAAGATTAAAAAAAAAAATTCCCCTGGGTGGAATATTATTTATCCACAAAAAAGAAGGAAATCCTTTCATATGCTACCGTGTGGATGCCCATTCAGTCAGCGTGGATGCTAAGTGCAATCAGCCAGTCACAGAAAGACAAGCGCGGTGTGATCCCACTTTTACGAGGCATCTCATCAAGTAATCATAGCCATACGGAGCGTGCCGGGGGCCGGGGGAGGGTGCAAGGGGTTGTTCAGTGAATATAAAATTTCAGTTGCACAAAATGAGAAAGTTCTATAAATCGGTTTCACAGGCATGTGAATGCCCTTCACCCTACTGAACTTTACACTTAAACATGGCTAAGATGAGGAAAGTGGTGAGTATTTTTACCGCTATTAAAATTGTTTAAATAAAATGTACTGGAACCTTTAGATGTGCACTAAGACGGTTCTGTATAAATCAGGACTCTTTGCTAGTGGTCTTAACAAGTACACATCAAAAATTAAGTGAGAGCCTGTACTTCATGGACTGTAAGACGTCATCAGCTTAAAGCACATTGTCACTTTTAGGCCTGCTAGAGAAAACGCTGTCCAAGAAGCTGAAACACACTTTTGGTTGTGACACCCGATGTCAGTGAATTCAGACGTATCAGGTGGTTAAAAATATGTGTCTTAGGATTGGTAAAATAGGGCAAGTTGTATCTGTCTTGTTAGCAAAAACAAAACAAAAAATGTTTTTCAAGTCACGTTATTGACGTGTTCTCACCCCGGGCGAGGCCGGCCGAGTCTCTCTGAGTGACTGACAGCGGGATGCCGGGAGCCTGGGGACGGGTTACATTCTGTCCTCCCAGATTGCATTCCCGTCTCAAGGAGAGCCTCAGAAATAAGCTTCACATGCACAGACGTTTCCGACAGTGTTACTTTTCATAATGAGAAATTGGAAATAGCCACGCTGGCGTTGTGCCGTGGCGGTGCAGTCAGGTCATTCCGAGTGGGCCTCGGTGAGCGGGGCAGCCAGACCGCAGCGTGTGCCTGCGCCTGACATTCGTGACGAAAATGTTCTAAGTGAAACTTCAGGATTTAGCATTAAACTCATGATGTGACTCCAGGCGAGCACATGTGTGGGCCCTGTGCCTGACGGAGAGCAGGGCTGCTCGCCCGGTGTGAACCGTGATCATTTCTTACCATGGAGACTTTAGGGGTGT